GGGTCTCGCTCTTGCTCAGGCTGGTCTCGAGCTCCTGAGCTTGAGCGATCCTCCCACCTTGGCCTCCCAGAGTGCTAGGATTATAGGCGTGAGCCACCACTCCTGGCCTTATATATATATTTTTTGATCATTCATCTGAAGTAGATTAAATAGATAACAAATGAATAAAATGATATTGTAAATTCTAGCTCTACTAAAAACATATTTCATGTGTCAAATTACTTTTGGTGATGAGATCATGCTACTATTGGAAACTGCATCACAGAAAAAGGTAGAGTATATACTGTGGTCAGGTGGAGGAGTTGGGGGAGCGTCAGAGTTCTTTTTCTTATCTAATATTAGGTCTATATTTTATCCATCTCATAGGCGTTGAGTTCTGCTAAAATATTTATTGAATACCTTTTGTCTTTTTGTTGCTAAAGATCTATGAAGAAATAGATGCTTAAATTTTTCTCTTATTTTTTTCCTAGGGAACAACTCCAAGTTTTCTTTGGATAATACACCAGTTCGAAATCGGGGTGGTGGAGATGGAGATTTTCAGTTCAGACCATTTTTTGTGGGTTCTCCCACAGCACCTGAACCCAGCAATAGCTTTTTTAGTTTTGCTTCTCCAAGTCGTGAATTACAGCAGGAGCAAGTCTCTAGCAGGGCCTTCAAAGTAAAAAGAATTTAGCTCACGTTATAGAATGTTTCTCTATTCACTTTCAGTAATTTCATTTAGCAAATAATCTTTACTCTAGATAAGAGTCATCAAAACCTTTTTGTGCTTTTTTTAAGTCTTTGAAGTTGTCTTCACGTTATCAACTTGTAAGAAGCTCAGTGGCAGTGAAGAGTGACTTTAGAGTCTGGTTTCTTTGTTTCAATTATTTAAAGCATGAACATTTTAATAATCTCAATTTCATCATTAACTGTTGAATTTTCATAACTAGTGAAAAGGTCATGATGTTACTGTGTGTTTCATAGATCATTATTTCTGTCTGTGCTGTTTCTGATTGAGTTCTGTGTTTATGCGTATGTATGTAAGTACCTATGTTATATGTCTACATTTCACTTTGGATTCTGGTATATATGCATATATGTATATGTACGTGTGTTAATTTACACTGATATTTTGCTGTATTTGCCAATATATTTGTGTGAAAATTTTGGTTTTGGAAAATGATGGGTGCTCTGTAGCTTGTTATTTGTGTGTGTGTCTTTGTTTGTATATTAACATGTTTGGAGGTACGCTCATGCCAGTGAATGAGAGTACAATTTGATGCATGTATGTTCAATCCCTATTTGTATTTAAAAATAAATCACACTGATAAAGTTATTTTGTAAAGTTGGTTTTTGGCATTTACAGTTGGTCCTCCATATCCTTGAGTTCTGCATCTGTGGAGTCAACCAACCACAGTCCGAAAATATTCAGAGGAAAAAAAGCAATAAAAAATAATCATGCAGCAATTTAAAAAAATACAAATAAATAAACCAATACAGCACAACTATTTGCATAGCATTTACAATGTGTATTAGGTATTTTAAGTAATCTTGAGATGATTTAAGGTATACAGGGGAATGTGAGTAGCTTATATGCAAATGCTATGCCATTTGGTGAAAGGGACTTGAGCATTCCGGAATTTTTGTATCCACAGGGTTCCTGGAACCAATCCCCTGCAGGTCCCAAGGGACAACTATATTTTAAAATAAATCTACTTTTTTTTTTTACGTTTTTGTCAACAGTTGCCTTGGGTTTTACTTATTTAGGAATGCACTTCTACTGCAGAAAATTTGCCAGTGTGTTTGTTATTTATCTCAAGAGATTATATTAATTAAAATAATTTAAAGATTTAGAGCATTTCTGATTACTATTACAGAAAGTGAATTATATTTAATTATTTCATTTAATTATTTAAAATGTAATGTCAGGAAAGAAATTTGAATGATATTCTCAGTAACTTTATGTCCTTTTAGAGGGAAGACTTGAAAGCATACTGGATGGGGAGGCAGACCATCTGGGTTCTGATTCTGTTTTTTCCCATGTATTGATTGTACAAGTTGGAGTTGAAAGTTTCTGGGCTTTAAGTTTCTATATCTCTAAAATGAGGTATTGAATTAAGTTATCCTTACAGCCTTTTCTAAGTCTTAAATTTTACGATTGATTCTTATTGGTTTGGGATGAATTACAATGGAATTACCCTAAATGCCAATTCTCATTGTTTTTTAGGTAATAAGTCATACTGAAATCATTTGAGGATATTCTAGATTATGTCATTGTATTATAGAAAGGCAAGTAAATACCCTTGTTCTACATGATTGAATAGCAAACAAATGCTTTCTTCATTTAGGAGTATAGAGTATAAGATCTCTTGATTTTTTTTTTCTTTTTATTATACTCCAAAGTTAAAATATCTGAGAAAAAGGATGAAAAATCTTGACTTAAAAGTTTTAAGGCCAGGAGCAATGGCTCACACCTGTAATCCCAGCACTTTGGGAGGTCGAAGGTGGGAGGATTGCTTGAGATTAGGAGTTTCAGACCAGCCTACTGAGACCTTGTCTCTACAAAAAATAAGAAAAATTAGCTGGAGTGGTGGTGCGTGCCTGCAGTCCCAGCTACTTGGGAGGCTGAGGCAAAAGGATTACTTGAGCCCAGGAGTTGGAAGCTGTAGTGAGCTATGATCATGCCACTGATGAAAGAGAGTGATCCCCATCTCTACAAAAAAAGAAAAAAAATAACAATTAAAATATTTAAAAAGTTTTAAAACATCCCTCCTTGTTTCACAGGCAATGACACAGATTTTATACATTACAGTACAAAATAGTTTCCTTCCCTCCACGGTTTATATTTTGTTGGAAAATGGTTTGAGGAAATGATATTATGTACATTTACGGTTTCTGCCTTGAACATTTTACTTCTTTGTTAGGTTCCCAGAATCCGTTTGAAGTACAAGTAAACTATAATTAAAACTAAAAAAGTAAAGAAAAACTGTCAGAAATATTACATGGAACTTTAAAAAATTATTTGAGTTTAATACATTCCGATGGCACAAATTCAAAAGATACAAAAAAGTCGTAGAGTGAAGACTCTCCCTTCCACGACCATGCCCGCTAGCCACTCCCACTCTTCGGAAGCAAGTGTTTATTGTTGACGGCGTCTTGTGTCTCTTTCCAGAGATAGTCTTATGTAGAAGCAAAAATTTTTTGTTTAAAAATTGTGTTTATTTTTGAACAGGTAATACATGTACATGGTAAAAAATTCAAAAAGGTACACAGTGAAAAGAATTTTCTTGGCTCACTCACAACTTTCAGTTGCCCTTTTTCCCTCTCTAGAGATAGTCATTGTTTCTTACAAGTCCTTCTGGAAAATGTCTATTGGGTATAGCATGATGGCTTTTATAGTACCATCCCCAGTATAGTATATTTATTAGGATACACATTAAAAATGATAAAATTACTCATACAGAAAATCACTGCAAAGTTTGGAAAAAAGTCAGACAACTAAGTTACCATCATACCACATTCCGTTCAAAATCTCAAACAACACAGACATGCACTGTCTTAACCTGCCTTTTTGCGGATATTATAATCTTGGTATTAAATAAGTAGGAAGATATGAAACAAAAATATACGTTTAATTAAGCTGAGAATATTTTGTTTCCGGGATCGAGGAAAGAAACTATGAACTCAAAAATGTAGAAAGTCTCCATTGTGCTGTAGACAAAAAAGTTGGTTTGGAGCAAAGCCCTCCAGGTGCAGGCAAGCCTCCAGAGCCCTAGATGTCGCTGTGGCTCCATAATGAGAGTGGGCATGAGTCTCTGTGGTTATAAAGTTGTGGGCAGAGCGGCTTAGAGTGGATGGGAAATGATGGCTGATGAAGAGGAAGAAGTCAAGCCGATCTTGCAGAAATTGCAGGTGGGGCCATAGATTAAAATCCGTATGTGCTTTTGTAACTTGGAAAGACGCCGTTTATTCAGTGCCTGGGAATTTCTTGGCACATACCCGGCGCTGCATGCGTCTGTGCGGTTACTATAACAACTCCCGAGGGTGCAGCCGCAGCCAGCCAGGGCAGCCTCCCGGGCCGGGAGAGGGGTGCAGCCGTGTGCTGGAACCTCCTGCTGCTGTCCTGACTGCGCTTTAATTTCAGTCCTGTTTGAAAGAGGATTTGTTGCTCCTAATTTATTCGTGTATATTTTTAGAGTAAGTTTTTCTCCTCGATTCGTCCATAACAAACAGCATGTGTGTGTGTGTGTGTGTGTGTGTGTGTGTGTGTGTGTGTAGCAGATTTGCATGAACTGTTATCACATGTTGTTTTGATCACTACAATGGCCATTTCTTTAACACTTCTCTCCTTTGAAACTGGCAACAACACCAGTAATGGCCTGCACCGCAAGTATCTTGGTTACTCCCCTTAGGATGTCACAGTTTTGATATTTTTGATCATGTGTAATCCCAGCGGACTCCAATCTGATGCAGAGGGGTCCAGACTCCATGTAGTTCACAGGTGACTGTGTTACTGACTAGGACTAGTGTTTTGTACTTGGTAGGTAGGAATTAACTAGTTGACTCTTTACCTTTCTTTTAATGAGCCGAGACTTTCCTTATACCTCAGGAACTCAGTTCTTTGTGTTCTAAAACAGCCTGGAATTTAAACATTAAAACTGTCACAGGCTTGTAACTTGCTTAAAGGCGTCTAACTCGCAAATTTAAACATTAGTGAGATTTCTTTATTTCTAGGTTAAAGTGTGGGCTTGGCTTCACTTCTAGCTGACTTGGATTAATTTCATTTTATTCTCTAGTTGTGACTGGTTGAAATCAGAGATTATCAGTGCTGATCCATATTAGAAACATTGTGTATATGTGTTTGTATATGTACAGAAAAAAAATCTGAAAAGATATACTAAAGAGTGGTTATCCTTAAGGTTGTTTGGAGTGATTATGAGGAATTTTTTTACTAACTTTTTCGTTTGTTTGTTTTTGAGACAGAGTCTCGCTCTGTCACCAGGGCTAGAGTGCGGTGGTGTCATCATAGGTCATTGCAACTTCAAACTCCTGGGTTCAAACGATCCTCTGGCCTCAGCCTCCCAAGGAGCTGGGAGTACAGGCGCATGCCACCACGCCGGGCTACTTTTTCTATTTTTTGTAGAGAAGGGTCTCGCTGTTGCTCAGGCTGGTCTTGAACTCCTGGTTCTAAGCAGTCTTCCCACCTTGGCCTTCCAAAGTGCTAGGATTACAAGTGTGAGCCACCACGCCTGGCCTACTTACTATTTTTTACATGTATAATATCTATTTGAGTTTTAACAATTTGTATGTATTGATTTTGCCATGAGAAAAAATTTACTCAAAATGTTCAGTCCCGCAAAACCAAGCCAAACAAAAACCCCAAACAATTTCTTGCATATTTGCTTTAACAACTAAAAATGGACAATAAGACCTCTCTCTAAAACTCTTAATTTGAAGCCATGATGATTACAGGACAAAAGGAAATTGGTTGTAATTTTCCATGAGAACTACCTTTTCTAGGATTCATTTGTGGTATATGCCCTAAGCAGCTTGGGACAGGATACTTGGGGTATCTTGGTGTGGTGGAGTAGGTGCAGGAATGGAATAAAGGAGTGAAGTAGAGAAGAGGAAAAGGGTTAGATAGTGATGTTACTCTCTATGGAAATGGTGGTAAGCTTTGATTTCATTGTTACAGACATTGTAGGGTAGAAGGAATGTATAAAAGGATATTTCTCAAAGTGTGTTTTACCGTTTTCATTACCATCATTTGGGGTGCTTGTTAAGAATGCAGAATTTTTAGTTCTGCTAAACTACTAAAATCAGAATGTCTACAGGCTGGGTCCTGGAAATAATATAATAAAATCTGAAAAGTACTACTGCAGAGAGTGCTAGTCCATTCTCTTCATTCTGCCTAGGATTTTAAATTAGGTATAGCATATATGTATTAGTTAGAACATGGATGATTGATTAATTAATTCAATCAGCATATTTAATGAAAGCCTATCCTGTCTCAAGCCCTGTTCTAGTATTCAGAAATACCTCTAAGCAAAACAGATGAAGTCCTTTCCTTCATGGAGCTTACATTCCAGAGGTGAAGACAGACAATAGACACTGAATAGGCCACATAATTTCAAATGATAAATACTATGAAGAAAAATAAGAGTGTCATTTAATAGTGGAGGAGATGAGAAAGGAATTACTTTAGTTTGGGTAAGTAGGGAAAGCCTCTTTGAGAAGTTAATATTTGAGCTGAGATCTAAATGATGATGAGTTACTTTGGTTTGGGTAATTAGGGAAAGCCTCTTTGAGAAATTAATATTTGAGCTCAGATCTAAATGATGATGAGGAATGAGTCATGCAGAGATCTGGGAAAAGAGTGTCCAGCCATGGGGAAAAGGCCTCCAGGTGGGATTGAACTTGATGGGTTTGAGAAACTGCATGAAGGCCAGTGTGGCTTGAGTATTGTAGGAGGGAGAGTGGTAAGGATTGAAGTTTGTGGCAGGGTGAGTGGTAGGTCAGACCATACAGTCTATTACATCATGGCAAGGAGCTGGATTTTCTTCTGTCTGCAATAGGAAATTATTTGAGTGTTCGTGATATGATATACATTTTTATAAGGTCACTCTGACTATGGTGAGGAGAGTGTGAGAGATTAGAACCAAGATGACCAGTTAAGAAGCTATTGCCATAGTCCAGGCAAGTAATGAAGCTGATTTAGTTCAGGATGGTCACAGTGGGATGGAAACAAATGGATGAATTTAGGATGTGCTGTGGACGTAGTTGGTAAGACTTGATGGGATTGGATTGTATATCTCTGCTGCTATCTATTCAGTTTCAGGAAAGGATAGATACAGATTGAATATCCCTTATCTGAAATGCATAGGACCACAAGTGTTTCAGATATTGGATTTTTTCGGATTTTGAAATATATATTATATATAAATGAGCTATCTTGGGGATGGGACCCAAAGATCTAAACACGCAATTTATTTATGTGTCATACATACCTCATACACATAGGCCAAAGGTAATTTTATATAGCATTTTTGGTAATTTTGTGCATGAAACAAAGTTTTGACTATCTTTTTTGACTGTGACCCATCACATGAGGTCAGGTGTGGAATGCTTCACTTGTGGCATCATGTTCGTATTCAAACAGCTTCAGATTTTGGAGCATTTGGATTTTGGATTTTCAGATTAGGGATGCTCAACCTGTATTGGAAAAACTTTGCCTAATATGACAGGAAGACTCAGAGGCATTTAAAAGAGGAGAGAGGATATTTACTTGTAAAAAATGCACAAGAGCCAGAAGATGACTTGACAAAAACAAAACAAAAACCACAACAAGCATTTAAAGAAACAAAACCCTGCAAAAATACCGAGGTTACCAAGTTCAGATTGGTTTATTTATGGTGGGAAACAACAGCTTTCTAGCACATTTATCATATTCACAGAGGTCATGTTGTATTTTCAGGTATCATAGGAAAAATCAGCAGTAAAATTGTTCTTGTTAGGAAGTCCAGTTTTAAGGGTAAATTTCAAAGTGTTATTCTTTGGAGACCAGAATCAGGTAGAATGATCTTGTTAACTTTTGGTTTATCTCAGGTTGTAAAATATTTCCCTCCTGATTGTGGTATGTGAAGTGCTTAGTCATATTTAGAAGCCTTACTGGGGCTGGGAGAGAGAGAACTGTCATTATGGTGTGGAGACTGGCAGGGGACAACTTGGGACCATGAGAGTGGCCCTGGGGCCCTGGTTGCTTTTCCTCGTGATCTTTGGCGTTTTGATAGACCTGTCTACTTGCCTATTGTGCCATTCCTAGGTGAGATAGGAGAATTAGTATTTCTAGGCCAAGAGCTGGCATGGCTAGCCAATTTCAAATTTTCTTGTCCAGTGCTCTCTCTACTTAATGGTACCATTCTTACACTTCTAGGAACTGGTGGATCAGCTCTATTCATTTCGAGACTGCTATTTTGAGACTCACAGTGTTGAGGATGCTGGGAGGAAGCAACAGGATGTGCGGGAGGAGATGGAGAAGACCCTGCAACAGATGGAGGAAGTAGTGGGTATGACTCCTAAAGAATGTGCAATCTCCTGCCCTTCACCGAAATGTGACAGTTTTGTTCTTTCTCTGCAGACTCTTTGGTATTCTATTTGTGGCTGCTGTAGGATTGTACAACAGAATATTTCTTCTAAGCGCCCCTATGCAGGAAGGCAACCTTTCATTCTCTAAGCTACTTTTCCTAAAATTTGATTATAGCAAATGTCATGAAATAGAACATACTTGTTCGAACTATTGCAGTAATTTTCTTAACTGACCTTTCTGCTTCTAATTTCTTTTACTTTCAGATCAACTTATGTAATGACCATAGCTATGGTTATCATTCTAGATCATTACTTCATGCATTTAATCTTATCCTCTTGCCTGCCTCCTTGCTCAAGTATCTTTAAAGATGCCTTCTATTAACTAGGTGAAGTCTAACCCCCTTCTTAACCTGGTATTCAATTCTCTATTTTCTCTGTTTTCTAATCTCGTTTCTGACTATGCACTTATAGAGGAACCTTCTGTTTCATCCAGGTTAAACTATCTATTCTTCCGTGAACATACCACATGTATTTCTGCCCCTGTGTCTTTGTTTATATCATTTTCCATGCTGGAGGGTCTTGTCTTTTCTTCTCTTGACTTTCTAAAGCCCATTCGTTTGATATATGCCATATACTTCTTTTCATTGTTTTAATTTTCCATGTCTCTGCTTTGTCTTCTCCACCAGATTGTAGGCCCCTCTAGGGTAGAAATAGTGCTTTCTGTGTTACCCATTTACCTAATGTAGTACTCTGCTTATGGTAAGCTTTCAATAAATGTTTTGTTGATAAAGATTTTCCTGAATTCTTTTCATTCCTATAACTGGCATGCAGTCATTCTTTGAGAGAAAGCGTCCTGGTCTTTAACTGTAAGACTGCCTGGGTTTTTCCACTTTGCTTTGTCTATTTCCCTTCCTGCTAGGTTCTGTCCAGGGAAAAGCGCAGGTTCTAATGCTAACTGGGAAGGCACTGAATGTGACTCCTGACTATAGCCCTAAGGCTGAGGAGCTTCTGTCAAAGGCTGTGAAGCTGGAGCCTGAGCTGGTGGAAGCCTGGAACCAGCTGGGTGAGGTGTACTGGAAGAAAGGAGATGTTGCAGCTGCCCACACCTGCTTCTCAGGAGCCCTCACACATGTGAGTTGCCTGCTATCCCCTCAGAAAACATGGATGGGAAGGATGATATTCCCTTGATTCTGTGAATTTCCCTATGATATGAATACCATAGTAGTACTGAGTTTGAATTAGAACAGAATCAGAAGGGAGGAAGGGTTGGGGAGTAGACCTGGATGAGGAAAATAGGGACGGGGGCTGGGAAAGAAAGAAAGTGATGGGATCAGGTTCAGGGGTAGATAAATAGTGAAGGAAAGTTAGCAACCAGACTGATCCTCATAGATGGGGGTCCAAGATACAGATAGCAGCAAGAATTAAGATGAAAAATTAGATTAGGAGAAGGATTGAGGTCATGATAGATCTGGAAAGGGGAAGTAGAATCAGGAAGATTGAGTGTATGTCTTTTCCATTTGCAGTGCAAGAACAAAGTCTCCTTGCAAAACCTGTCAATGGTGCTTCGCCAGCTGCGGACTGACGCTGGAGATGAACATTCTCGTCATGTCATGGACAGTGTCCGACAGGCTAAGCTGGCTGTGCAGATGGATGTCCATGATGGCCGCTCCTGGTGTGAGTTCTCTCAAAAGATCTCCAGAAAGTTTCTAGAGCAGTGGTTCTCAACCATGCATACATGTGGAGCCCATCTTTTCAGTCTGACTCTAAGGGTTAAGCTGGGGCATCTTTGTTTTGAAGACACCTGAAAGGTATTTTGGTGAACCACTATTCTAGGAACTCTTGGATCTTTTGATCCAAGATTAGAGACATGTTTTCACATAAGCAAGGCTGGGCTTCTGTATAGTCTGTTGAAATTTCTCTTTGGGGTCCATGTTTGTTTCTCTGTCCTAGTGCAATTTTGGGTATACTAAATACAGTGTGATTTCTGGTTTGGGTCAAATGTGGGCCTTTCAAGTATACTTTTGAGGGTGACCAAAATAAGTCATATCTTGAACTTAGGCCCTGAAAAAATCCACTGCTGTGTTTCTCTTTCAGATATTCTGGGGAATGCATACCTTTCTCTTTACTTCAATACTGGCCAGAACCCTAAGATCTCCCAGCAAGCCCTCAGTGCCTATGCCCAAGCAGTAAGTACTTATGGTCACCCAGGTCAGATAAATAGAGGCAGCAACAGAAGCAAGAACACCGTTCAGTCTTGCTAGTGGTCCTTTAGCAAGCAGCATGGGCAGTGTTTTCTGGCATCCCACATGTGTGGTTTTGCAAAGATGTGTTTGCAGAAGTGACATTTCTTCTTAAAGCTTGAATATTAGGAGCCACTCGCAGTGTGGTGCTAGATAGCTCCTTAATACAGGTCCAAGTTTCTTACAGGCATGTATAACCAAATTGCTGAGCTTGCCTCAACATGTTCATCTTTTTCAATGGAAAAAAAGCTTATAAAGTCTATTAAAATAATGTTTAATAATATTTTTGTACATTCATTCTAAAGAAAAATGAAAACTCTAATACTTAAGTGTAAATTAAGTGCTATCACCAAATTAACCATCAGATGATTTGTCTCTGGATTTTCCATGGGCTAAAAGGGAAAACAATATGCAGTCTATTCTGCATCATTTCCTAGGAATTATAATATTCACTGATGTTCATGGAGCTTTGCTTAGGCTTTCAAGCCATTTTTATATCAGTGGACACTTGCACAGGGCTTTCCTTCAGGTTTTGAATGCCTGATTACTCATTATTAGAAGGTTCACATTAGCTTTCTGAGCACTTTTTTTTTTTTTTTTTTTGAGACAGAGTCTCACTGTGTTGCCCGGGCTAGAGTGCCGTGGCGTCAGCCTAGCTCACAGCAACCTCAAACT